CCCTAGTAGAGGGGCTAACTCTGAAGGGGGAAACTTTAAAAGCAAGCATCAGCATTTATTAACTGATTCTAAGTAACTCAGAAGAAAATTCTTTTCTAAGGAAATACAATAAAAGTAAACAATCTTTAACAGAAAATTTATGAAGTCCATCATCCAATCAAGGAAACAGGCAAGAAAATATGACCCACTGTTGTTAAGTGTCGTGGATTCAGTTCCAACTCATAGAGGCCTTGTATAGGTTTTTCCAAGGAACAGCTGGTGGACTTGAACTTCTGACCTTTTGGTAAGCAGTTCAGTGCTTATCTTACAGTACCACATTAAGAACCCATATGAAGGAGAAAAATCTAACAGTAGAGATATAATATGAGATAAAATGGCAGAATAAGAAATTCTGAAAGTCTCCTCCTACATAAAAAGCAATGTAAAAATTGACAAAACCATTAAGAGCATCTTTTTTCTAATTCAAGCAATAGGAAAATGCTTAATCAAGAAAAAGCAGAATTTGGGTAAGAACAGCAAGCTTTTAGGTCTTCCTCCAGTCCTATTCTACAGTCCTTACTCAGTGGTGGCCTAGCAGATAACAGCTCTTACTGAGGTTACAGAAACATACGTTCTCCTATGGAGAGACTGGTGGGCTCCAACTGTCAATAGTGTGGTTAACAATCCAGTACTTATCCTACAGAGCCACCACACTCTATGTAGATATATAAAGGAGAGTTCAAAACAAACTTCATTGGCTCCCTAGAAGACTAGCTCAAAGGGGCTGTCTTTATTTTCACTTGTCTCAGAATTTTACCAGGAATGAGGCAACTATACAGGAAGCACTTGAGAAATACATTTAAGGGTAAATACATCACTGTCTGCTGTTAGGGAAGTGGGCAAATTACAGACTAAAAAAACAAAAAGCTCATTAAGAAAGACTCAAGACTCGGATAGAGAGAGACACTCTGGAGCACAAGGCTTTGAAAAGTTTTCACATAGTCCTGGAAATTAAATAGTCACACACATATTCAGAACTGTGCACATGTTCAGGAAAGACCTGAGCTCCCACCTTAGGCTGATCTTCAGGCTATGAGCAAGCACAACATGAAAACTAATGCAGAGTTGCACACTGCCAGGCTGAGTATTGAAGGCTTACCCCAACACAAACAGAAATTCCATCAAAGTGTGGAAAACTTTAGTTTCAATCTCTGTTCCATCACTAGCTAGCCACATTTAGCTAATGGAATACCCACTTCAGTGGTCACACATGACAAGGAATACAGACTATTTATCAGTTCAGGTAAGTCATTACAAACACGGGCAACTATTACAACAAAAAGTAACAGCAAATCCAAGAGTAGGAGAGACTTTGATTTTCTGAATTGCCGCATTATAACCATAATTTCAATGTTCAATATAAACTTTCTCAGTGAAACATTACAATGCATGCAAAGAAACAAGAAAACATGGTCCTGTATGAATATTAGTTTTCTATGGGTCCCATAAAAAAATATCATAAACTGGGTGGTTTATAAGAACAGCAATTGTCTCTCAGTTTAGGAGGCTAAAAGTTAAAATCAGAATATTAGTCATGTTGCTTTCTTCTGAAGGCCCTGAGAAATTGTTCTGTGCCTATCTCCTAGCTTCTGATGGCCCCCAGAAATCCTTGGCTTTCCTTTATTTGTGTCTTCATCTGTCCATCATCACATGGTTGCCTTTTCTGTCTCTATGTCTCTTGTTTTATAAGGACACCAGCCATATACCACTAAGAGTTACTCTTCTGTGGTAACATTTTCAAAGATCCAATTTACAAATAAAGTTGCATTGACAGGTACAGGGGTTAGAACTACAAGATATTCTTCTGGGGACACAATTCAATCCAAAACAGGTTCTTATACAGGGAAAAAAAGGTAGTTAGTACAAACAGTCTCTGAGGAAGCCCAGGCAACAACTTTAAAAAAAAATATGTCCAAAGAGCTAAAGGAAACCAAGTTGTGAGAACTAAAATAGAGTGAGAAAAAGATGTCTGAAGTAGAGCATCAATATATAGAGATTTATTCTAGAAAGGAATGAATCAGAAATTCTGGAGTTGAAAAGCGCCGTATCTGGAATAAATATTTTGTTAGAGAGACTCATCTGCAGATTTGAGGAGCAGCAGAAAGAACTGGTGAAATAAAAGTTAGGTCTACTGAGATTATCAGTCTCAGGGACACAAAGATAATGAAAAAAGTGAAGAAGTCTATGAACCTATGGGATATCATCAAGTTTACCGATATATGTATAAATGAGAATCCCAGAGAAGAGAAGAGAGAGAAACGGGCAGAAAGGGTATCTGTGTAAATAATGGCTGGAATTTTTCCAAATTTAATTTAAAAAAGTCATCAATCTAAACACCCAAGAAGTTCTACAAAACTCCAAGTAGAATAAGCTCAAAGAGCCATATCAACTACTGAAAGTCAAACAGAGATCTGGTGGGACTATACAAATATGGTGTATGGAACCTTAACAAGGGGATTAGTCAGTTTTGCCATCCTGCTTGGCTTAAACTATGTCCTCTCAGAGGTGGAAAGGGGATCTGACCACGGTGAAAGAACAGCCATGAGTACAGTACATCCTTTGGACCTGGAATAACTGCAGTGAAAAACTTCTCAATCAAGGAATCAGAGAGCTGTGACGCTAGAGACAGCAAGAAGCAGCAGCAGAGGTAGCAGAAACAAGAGACTAGCACAAGACAGAGCAATAGGCTTCCTGGCCCACAAAGCAAGAAAGTGGCGTGCCTTCATGCAAAATGTTTGCTGGCAGAGTGGCGTGTCTCTAGGGACTTGGTGGAATTAAGTTTGCCAACCAACAGAGCTAGAATTAAGCACCTCTGTTCAAGTCTTCTGGCAGAGTAGAGCACCTTTGGGTATTTATCAGCTGAGCTAAACTTGCTTTGCAACATTTGTCTATGCAGGGCAGACACCAAGTCTAAGGGCTGAGGGCCAGATTGAGAAGAAGCTGTCCTGATTGAAGAAAAGTATCCTAAATCATTCTTGATCCTAAATTTCAACCTGTTACTTCCCAAGTAAACCCTCTAATAGTGACTATAGTTTGTGAGTTCTATGTGGCCATTGCAACAAATTATCGAACCTGGCAGAGAAAAAGAGACTGCCACAAGAGACAGTTGGTGTTAGAATTGGTAAAAAGATTGGAGGGTGGAGGCATGTTTGACCTCTGCCTGACAAGAATCAGCCTTGGGCTGTTGATCTTGATGATCTCTCCCCCTTGTGAAATTAGAGGAGGTTACACACCATTGTCATACCATTTTTTTTGCATTGACATATCCATACAATAGAATAGAATACAATACAGTAATAAAAAGTAAACAATTAATACATATGCAAAGTGAATAAATCTCAAAAATATTATGTTAATGAAAGAAGCCAGACTAAAAAGACTATGGTAGTGGTGGCATTTGTGAGCTATCCAATCAGCACCTACAAATAGTGACACTGCATAAAGTTTCCAAGGTGGTAAATTTTTATATGGGCAGCTGGTAGATTTGAACTGCTGACCTTGAGGTTAGCAGTCCAACACATATCCCACTATGCCACCTTGTAGAAGTGTTTCCTTGTAGAATTAAATTTACATAAAATGAACAAAAAAGGAAAGCTATAGAAATAGAAAGCAGATTAGTGGTTATCTGGCATAGGAACACAGATTGCAAATAGCCATGAGGAATCTTTTTAAGAAGAGTATGCAAAACACTAACATTTATGCAAAAAAGAACATTTTGCTATTATTGTTGTTGATATAAACAATGTTTCCAAAGAAACATGAGACTTAACAGAAGTCTTCCGTAGTTGGAGGTGTGGACCCTTTAATGTATAAATTAATGTGGTCGTTTTTTTTTTTTTTAAGAAAGTAGAAATGTATATTGCCAATCAATCATATCTTAATGAGACCTAGACATAAATGACATTGATTTTGCTTGATTTTCCCAATTTATTTTAGATTGAACAGACCCATCCAAACATCACACTTTGTCCTCAAGGATAAACTATAACAGGATAAAGTTTATCTCACTGGATTCTACTGATTATTTCCAGGCCATCCAAAAACAGGATGAAATTTCATAATGCAAGAGCTACAACATGTTTATAGTTTAAAATGTTAGTGTTAGGAAAATTCACCAGCTGACTGTCAAAAACTTTTCTTTAAATGTGAGAGCTCTGACTGTCACCTATGAAAAGTTGGCGAAAAGAAAGCAAAGAGGAAAGGGGTGGGGAGGAGGAAGAAAAAGAGGAAAAAGAGACAAGCAAGAGAGGTGGAGAGAAATGACCAAAAGAAAAGAACATACACACACATAAACAAAGTTTCTGAGAACAGAACAGAAAAACCTGTATGCACTCATAGAAAAAGCACAAGCAATCATTACAATCATGTTGCCTTGGCCCTAGGAGGGAGTCACGGAAAAAGTCATTTAGAAGCAATTAGCACTCTTCAAATAGAAAACTGAAATTCCTATTATTTTTTGAGCAAAGTTTTATAAAACAATATTTGAATTGAGTGATACTATGTAACTATGTGTACTTTTTTGAGGCTCTGAAATAATCATATATAAGAAGTCCAAATTTATAATAAGAGAAAAGAATTGTTTCCTCTAAAACTAAATCTGTTATCAACTATAGGAGAACAGGAGTGAGATGGGCTCATCAAGTAGCTTACGAGTCGGATTACAAGTGAATTCTAGTTTCTATTTACAGACTTTAAAAGGCATGTAATGTTCTTTTTATTCCTCTTTAATGAGAATACTGACAACCACCAGCAAAGGATATAATCATTACAGCAATCTTTCTGACAGCTAAGAAGAACTGCTTGCCTATATTTAGAGGGTTTTTGTTTCCAAAATCAAAATTCTGCATCAGTTGTTACATCTGAGATAATATATTTTCAAAACAATCCTTACATTTAAAATTAATTCTCAAATGAAACGAATAAGATTTGATAAAGAAAATAACAAGAAAGCATCAACTTACTGGAGTTCCTGTGATCATGTAGCTCTGCAGTTTGTTTCTCATTTCCTTTTCATTAAATTTGGCACTTCGTTTTACATAGATGCCTCCATGCTGCCACATTGAAAAAAGAATTGAGGACAAAGTAAAAACATTTACTTTTCAAATATCCAGCTATTAAAAAGGCAACTTTAAAAATGTAAATATTACAACTAAATTTTAGAATGTAAATATTTAATATATTCAAATATTAACACAGAAAGAGCATGCATTATCCTATTCAAACTTATTCAAATAAAGCTGCACTGTCACATTGTACTGAGAAATGCAATACTGAATTCATATTCTATGTATTAGTATTTATTTTGGTTGGTAGTTGTCTTAGACTGGGTTTTCTAGAGAAAAGTAAAATCAGTAAAACATATACATACACACACAAATGTTTATATGTGTGTATGTATATACATATAAAGAGAAGCTTGTGTATATGTGTGTGTATATATATATTGTTGTTGTTGTTAAGTACCGTGGAGTCGGTTCCGATTCATAGTGACCCTGTACAGGGTTTTGGAGACTGTAAATCTTTACGGGGGCAGAAAGCCTCACCTTTCTCCCACGGAATAGCTGGTAGTTTCGAACTGCCGACCTTGAGGTTAGCAGCCCAATTTGTAACCACTATGCTACCAGTGTAGTGGTGTGGTATATATATATATAAAGAACTGTTCTATGTAACTTAGCAAAGTTGACATAGAACAATTGGACTTTTGAGCACCTATTACAGCAGTTAATTAGTTTTTTCATTAAAAAATTGATAGCTCTTAGCTCACAATTCTTCCACTGACTTATTACAAAATCACTAAAAAGTGTCCTTAAAATGCCAATGCTTGTAATCATTAGTGATTTTAAATATTCATATATATTTTATTCAGATGTAGATATTCATGTGGTACTTTTTAAGAATCATGTTACTTTCTAGGGGTTGGGCTTAGGAAAGATGAACAGGTGGAGTTCAGGGCATTTTAAGGGTAGTAAAACAATTCTGCATGATCCTGTAATAGAAGATACATGGCATTAAACATTTGTTAAGACCCAGAGCTATACAAAACAGAATGAATACTAATGCAAATTACCGACTTTAATAAAAATAATAATGTATCAATACTAGTTATCAATTGTAACAAATGTACGACACTAATTTAAAGAATAAATCATAGCAAAAAATGGAACTGACATGCTATCTTTGAAACTTTTTGGTAAATGTAAAACTTCTCTAAAAAACAACTTGTCAAAAAATCAATAAAGAACATTTTTTATTCAATCTCTATTCCCCTGGAGAAGCAGAGGATGAAGGAGAGTCAGCAATAGGAAGAGGAACTGTAATGCCTAATTGCCTCCAAGGACAACTGCCTCCTTTTTCCATGACAAAAGAAAGATTCTACAGAATAATCTTGATCAAATGGAGGGAAATGTAGAACAGAATCTCATATAGACTACAAACTTTTTAGAGCCACTGACACTCAAAGACCCCTCTAAGACTAATGATCTGAGATAAACTTGAAACTTTAAATTGAAATTATCCCCTGAATACATGATTTTTGTTTGTTTGTTCCCAGTAAGATTTTTCTTTCAACTTTTTGTGAATTGAGTGAAGACCATTAATCAACTTTACTTTCAACCAATCATACATTTTGTTTTCATCTCAATGATTACACTTCCCTCCCTATAATAACAGTTATCCTGCTTCCACCCTGTTGCTTCCTTCTAAATCTTATTTTTCACAAATGAACAAAACAATAATACTTAATTACACATAAAGAACAAAAAAAATATTCATTCAAATGTCCAAAGGGCACATTTTACAAGTCAGCCTTCTACCTGCAGGGACACAGCCTTTCTCAGTCCATGGGCCTAGAGTCCTCAGCTACTATATCTCTATGCTATCGCCTCTGACACTGTTTCCGTTATCTCCACTTTTCTGGGTAGGGCCTCACGTTCGACTCAAGCTCTTCCTTCTTGATGGATCTGGGGTCCTCTATTCCTGAAATGATGATTAACTACTTCCCCCTTTTAGTTACACATCCACAATTAGAGTTGTGGCTATCATGATTAATCCTAATAATTACTCAAAATTGAATCATAAAATCCTATCACTATCAGTTCCCATCCCCTTTCACCAGATCCATCTGGAAAAGAAGAAAACTATTCAGTGGAAAGTCCTCATTCTGAAATTGAGCACACTCATAAAAGCTTGTAAGCCAGCCACTTCGTGCCTTCGTAACCCCCCATTTTTGATAGCCAATGTCTAAACTGTCCATCCCTATCAATCCAATGCACTGAGGAAAAAAGCATTAGCATTGGTACATAAGATCCTTCCATTTCAGTTGGACTTTTGAGCACCTGTATCCACATAAGCAAAGGTCCAGTTCTTCAAATTATATCACTTTACATTTGCTCACAGTATCAAACTTTATATCAGCATGGTCAAGTTCTGGTCAGCTAGCCATCAAAGCTCGGTCAAATGGGTACTATCTGCAAGTTTGGGAGTTCATGCATACCTCCCTACACTTCAGAGCAGCTAGCCGCTCCATTCTCAGCTCTAGCCCCCAGTGGCTAGGTCAGTATGACCTCGGGAGTACATACATCTCCCTGAACCCTTAAATACATCATTAAGCTAAATGTTGGTTTAGCTTAATAAGGAAACAATGCCTGCCTTGAATATCATACTCTTTTAAAGAATTATCTAGGTGCAGGCAGCTGCACAGGGCTGAGCCTGGCAAGCAGTGTTCGGCTGGAACGGGAGGCACAGTCATGAGGCCCAAGGTGGCAGTGGCCGGCACAGTACTATAAGATTGATATTAAAGACATGATTCTCACCCCACTTCATCAACGCATTTAAATCTCCTCTTTTTTAATCCTGTATTATAGCACAATACAACAAGCTTTAGAACTAGCTTTGGATCACGCAGAGTATGTCATTGAGAGTACCCAACAGAAACCTCCTAAAAGGAAATTCTTGTCTAGTGGAAGAAAATTTGTATTTCAAAAAACTTTATAATTTATATGTTGGAGAGTGTGAAAAAGAATCTGAGGATAGGCAGAAATTAAGAAGAAATGTGAACTTGTTAGAGAAGCTTGTTATGCAAGAGACTTTCTTATGTCTATATGTTACAGAATTAGTATCTAGTAAATGAGGGATAGTCTCTGATGTTCAGGAAGAAAGATTCTGAGACCATTCAACTGCCTTATGAAAAAGGGGAATTGCTTGAATACTTGGATGCAGAAGAATTACCTCCTATTTTGGTTGATCTCCTTTAAAAATCTCAGGTTAATATTTTTCATTATAGATGCGTCACAGCAAAAATACATGACTACAGAAGGAGCTCTGGTAGCGTAGTGGTTACGAATCGGGCTGCGAACCTTAAGGTCAGCAGTTCGAAACTACCAGCCGCTCCGCGGGAGAAAGATGAGGCTTTCTACTCCCGTAAACATTTACACCCTCGGAAACCCTGTACAGGGTCGCTATGGGTCGGAACCGACTCGATGGCACGTAATAACAACAACAACAACAGACAGTCAAGTAACATAAAATCGTCCGGTTATCAAAGTAGGCATATTCTTTTACGTCCAACAATGCAGACTTTAATCTGTAATGTACATTCAATAGCAAGTGAGAGCCATAAGTGGGCCCAGGAAGAAAAACTTTTGCTTGAGAGCCAGTTTTTACTACTTTGCTACTGCTGAGCCATTGTGTCTTGATCCTTCTTTAGCAGTAGCATGCACTGCAGCAGACTGCTCTACAGCAAACAGAAAATGAACACTCAACCAACGAAATGGTGTGTCAAGAGATATTCTAGGTCCTCTCTGAATTGACAGCAGGATCTGTCTCATTGTCCACTCCTCTTTAGCTAAAATTACTTGATTTCTTACAAAAAAAAAAGAAAAGCAGGTCAGCATTATGACCACAAAATCTCCAATACAGGAAATTGCATAGATATGTGGAAACAGAATACATGTAATTTGACCATACCTTCAAGTGGATGTAGAGAAATATGTGAAAGCAGAAAAGTCTATCATATCTGATGACTCACAACCAACATTATTCTGGCCAGCCCATGAGGTAAAAGATGATTATGTATTTGAATGTGAAGCTGGTAATTAGTATCAGAAAATGAAATTGACCATTGTGCAGTCACTCGGTGATCTACTTTACTATGGTAAAATACAGCCTTGTAAAGATGAAGAATGTCATAGTCAGTTGTCTCCATCCCACTCCTCCACAGATGATCATTCAAACTGGTTCATTATTGCATCAAAGACTGATGCTCAGAGGGTAGTCAATCAGTACCAGGTCCAGAATGAAGCCAAATGCCTTGTTAAGATGTCACACAGTTCCAGTGGCTCCATCAGTCTGAGTCAACATTCTCCAGGGACAGAAACAGAACAACCTGAGACTATGTCAGTCCAGTCTTCAATAGTGAATAAGGGAGTAAAGCATAGGCCTCCACCCATCAAACTTCCCTCAAGCTCAGGAAATAGTTCCTCGGGTAACTATTTTACTTCACAGTAGGCAAGCAGCTTTCTTAAATCTCCAACTCCTCCTCCTGCTTCTAAGCCACCAAGTCTGTCTCGGAAGTCATCAGTGGATCTCAATCAAGTTAGCATGCTTTCTCAAGCTGCCTTGTCACCTGCCAGCTCATTACAAAGTGAGTCAAGACTTAAATCTTCATAACCTTTGGCATTAGTGTTTGTTAAGACAGCTTTTTTTACCAGTGAAATCCAAATGTATTATGTGTCCAAAATGTAAAAGTTGTGAGAAACTTCAAGCAGATATCTTATTGATTGTATGGATTACATGTTTACTACAATTGTATTTGTTTTTCTGTATCTAAGTATGTAACTCTGTGTATACCTTTCTTAAAGATATGCTACCTGCACATCTCCATAAAAAATTATCTGGTGACAATATATGTGACAATAAAGTTACAAAATCTTATTTTTTTCATTCTAGCATACCCTAGGATCATTTATGTAAATTATGCAGCTGAGATGGGAAAAAATATATCATCAGTTGTCACTTAAGTCCTATGTTTATATTATTCAATACAATAAATTAA